ACATCTGAGTTCTTACCTCTTCTAGTGACCTACGTCTCACCTGTTGGCGCTATATAAAGCTCCATCCTGTCACTTCATCTCCATATTGTTTCATTCTATGGAACAATGCTCTTCTCCAGACTGAGGGACTGACCACCTCAAAACTTTAAGGGTGATGGACTGATTACATCGTCTTCAAGTATCTTCTGCTTCTATCAACTTTTCTGTACTCGACTGAAGAAGCCTACTGTGTAGGCGAAACGTTTCGAAATAAAGATACCTAACTGTTGCATATGTGTCTTACCTAACAGCTCTCAAGAAGAAGCCAATGAGGACACCTCTCTTAGTGCGGGTGTCTTGTTGCGAACTAAAGTGTATAAGATCGTCCTTGTTGGTAGGTTTTCTATACACTTTGAAGAGAAGTTTGTCACTGTCGGGAGACCTGCACAAGATGACGTCGAGGAAATGTACTTTGTCACCTTTTTCGAGTTCAAGTATAAACTTTATTGATGGCTCGGCAGCATTGATGTTATTCAGGGTCTGGATACTGAAACATTTCGGACAGAAAACAAATATATCATCAACGTATCTTAGCCAGGTAACGGTGCTGGGAATGAAGGTGCTGAATTTCTCTGTCTCTAAGTTCTCCCTGATGAAGTTGGCAAGCACTGAGTGGGCTGCCTATTGCCATCCCAAAGCTTCGTTTCTAACAGTTGTCCTGATACTTGAAGAGGCTAAAATTAACAGAGAGATCCACTAGACCGACGAAATCTATAAGAGGTAATGGCAGGCCGTGGTTATCAGAGAGTCTCTGTCTCAGAATGTTTACTGCAGCCTCAGTATGAACGCTGGTAAACAGGGCTGTGATATCGTTAAGTATTAGGTTCATAAACCATACCACGGGTGGAGTTAGAACCCGCGATCAGAGCCTCAAAACTCCAGACCGTCGCGTTAGCCACTGGGCCAGTGACGGTCTGGAGTTTTGAGACTCTCTGATCGCGGGTTCTAACCCCCCAGTCGTGTCATTACGATTTCGTGAGACATTAGGTTCATCAGCCATGGCAGCTCAAGAATTTCCTTCCAGCAGATCTGAAGATATTACCTGATACACCATTTCTGACACTAAACGCGGCATTTCTCTAAATTATCTAAAACGCGAAATTCTAAAATCTACTTTGTACACCCTGTGTCCATCCTGTGGATGGTAGTGGCTGAAGACTTGGCAAAAGACTTGGCAGACGATGCAACATCCCCCCAATGAAAAGCAGTCACTAGCACGTTAAGAGACCATACAATAAGTGTCAGGGACCCGAGACTGTTCAACTGCCTCCCAGCATACATAAGGGGGATTACCAACAGACCCCTGGCAGTCTTCAAGTGTCAGGGGCCCGAGACTGTTCAACTGCCTCCCAGCACACATAAGGGGGATTACCAACAGACCCCTGGCAGTCTTCAAGCTGGCACTGGACAAGCACCTAAAGTCAGTTCCTGACCAGCCGGGCTGTGGCTCGTACGTTGGTTTGCGTGCAGCCAGCAGCAACAGCCTGGTTGATCAGGCTCTGATCCACCAGGAGGCCTGGTCACAGACCGGGCCGCGGGGGCGTTGACCCCCGGAACTCTCTCTAGGTAAACTCCAGGTAATTGCGCATCCCGGATCCATCCCGCGGAAGGTGGAAGCAACACACAGTACCCTCCTTATCCATTCTGTGGCTGGAAGCTATTAATTGTGCGCACCATAGCTATCCAATGGATAATGAAACACAAGAACACACATGGACACAAAAACAGAGGAACTAGAGCTTAAAAAGAAGCTTAAACGTTTACATTTTGGTTTATTTACATCTAATGAACAGACACCGATTAAGGTTCCACTAATCCCGAATCTCATTGTTCAAGGTTTCACTGATCCTCACTTACAGTGGTTAAGATTTTATCAATCCACACACTGCAAAAGGCTTCGTCAACCCACATACACAGTGGGTTGTATACCATTTTGATGTTCACAGTGGGTAAGGTTTCAACAAGAGACACTGTAAAAGGCGTCACCAACCTCAACACATCATCTCACCTAACACTGTTGGTAAACAGTGGTGTTGTATAACAGAAACATACATGGTATGTTAGATGTTACTGAGAGGATATAGAGGGAAGATAGGAGCATGGTATCTTGACTGTACTGAGAGGATATAGAAGGAAGATAGGAGCATGGTATCTTGACTGTTACTGAGAGGATATGAGAGGAAGATAGGAGCATGGTATCTTGACTGTTACTGAGAGGATATAAAAGGAAGATAGGAGCATGGTATCTTGACTGTTACTGAGAGGATATAGAAGGAAGATAGGAGCATGGTATCTTGACTGTTACTGAGAGGATATAGAGGGAAGATAGGAGCATGGTATCTTGACTGTTACTGAGAGGATATAGAAGGAAGATAGGAGCATGGTATCTTGACTGTTACTGAGAGGATATAAAAGGAAGATAGGAGCATGGTATCTTGACTGTTACTGAGAGGATATAGAAGGAAGATAGGAGCATGGTATCTTGACTGTTACTGAGAGGATATAAGGGAAGATAGGAGCATGGTACCTTGACTGTTACTGAGAGGATATAGAGGGAAGATAGGAGCATGGTATCTTGACTGTTACTGAGAGGATATAGAGGGAAGATAGGAGCATGGTATCTTGACTGTTACTGAGAGGATATAGAGGGAAGATAGGAGCATGGTACCTTGACTGTTACTGAGAGGATATAGAGGGAAGATAGGAGCATGGTATCTTGACTGTTACTGAGAGGATATAGAGGGAAGATAGGAGCATGGTACCTTGACTGTTACTGAGAGGATATAGAAGGAAGATAGGAGCATGGTATCTTGACTTACTGAGAGGATATAGAGGAAGATAGGAGCATGGTACTTGACTGTTACTGAGAGGATATAGAAGGAAGATAGGAGCATGGTATCTTGACTTACTGAGAGGATATAGAGGGAAGATAGGAGCATGGTATCTTGACTTACTGAGAGGATATAGAGGGAAGATAGGAGCATGGTATCTTGACTGTAAGATCAGGAAGAGGACATGTATTGATTCGGGTAAAGGATAGGAGCATGGTATCTTGACTGTTACTGAGGGATATAGAAGGAAGATAGGAGCATGGTACTCTGACTGTTACTGAGAGGATAAGAGGAAGATAGGAGCATGGTATTTACTTACTGAGAGGATATAGAGGGAAGATAGGAGCATGGTATCTTGACTGTTACTGAGAGGATATAGAGGGAAGATAGGAGCATGGTATCTTGACTGTTACTGAGGATATAGAAGGAAGATAGGAGCATGGTATCTTGACTGAGAGGATGCAGAGAGAAGATAGGAGCATGGTATCTTGACTTACTGAGAGGATATAAAGGGAAGATAGGAGCATGGTATCTTGACTGTTACTGAGAGGATATAGAGGAAGATAGGGCATGTATCTTGACTTACTGAGAGGATATAGAGGGAAGATAGGAGCATGGTATCTTGACTGTTACTGAGAGGATATAGAAGGAAGATAGGAGCATGGTATCTTGACTGTTACTGAGAGGATATAGAAGGAAGATAGGAGCATGGTATCTTGACTGTTACTGAGAGGATATAGAAGGAAGATAGGAGCATGGTATCTTGACTGTTACTGAGAGGATATAGAGGAAGATAGGAGCATGGTATCTTGACTGTTACTGAGAGGATATAGAAGGAAGATAGGAGCATGGTATCTTGACTTACTGAGAGGATATAGAGGGAAGATAGGAGCATGGTATCTTGACTGTTACTGAGAGGATATAGAAGGAAGATAGGAGCATGGTATCTTGACTTACTGAGAGGATATAGAGGGAAGATAGGAGCATGGTATCTTGACTGTTACTGAGAGGATATAGAGGAAGATAGGAGCATGGTATCTTGACTGTTACTGAGAGGATATAGAGGAAGATAGGAGCATGGTATCTTGACTTTACTGAGAGGATATAGAGGAAGATAGGAGCATGGTATCTTGACTGTACTGAAGGATAAGAGGAAGATAGGAGCATGGTATCTTGACTTACTGAGAGGATATAGAGGGAAGATAGGAGCATGGTATCTTGACTGTTACTGAGAGGATATAGAGGGAAGATAGGAGCATGGTATCTTGACTGTTACTGAGAGGATATAGAAGGAAGATAGGAGCATGGTATCTTGACTGTTACTGAGAGGATATAGAAGGAAGATAGGAGCATGGTATCTTGACTGTTACTGAGAGGATATAGAAGGAAATAGGAGCATGGTATCTTGACTGTTACTGAAGGATATAGAGGGAAGATAGGAGCATGGTATCTTGACTTATGAGGGATATAGAAGGAAGAAGGAGCATGGTATCTTGACTTTACTGAGAGGATATAGAGGAAGATAGAGCATGGTATCTTGACTGTTACTAGAGAGGATATAGAGATCTGTTGGACTTGAGCATGTTGGCGAAGGTATAAAGGACACATAAATGCTATGTGATTACTGGAGTATAGAAGGAAGAATAGGAGCATGGTACCTTGAACTGTTACTGAGAGATATAGACCCAAAGGGTAGATCTGTTGTGACTTGAAAAAAGCCCATTGTCGAAACGTTGTCATATAAGGATCACATTAAACTGCATATGTGTTTATATTTCCTACTCTATAACCACCACTACGGACATCATCAGATGCAGCATTCTACACCTGACCAGCAACATTGAACTGGACTTATAATCTCCGTACCTCTTCCCCCCAGGTAATTGTTTGATGTGCTTGAAAAGACTGTTGGGCGAAACGTTGTCAATAAAGGATCACATTAAACTGCATATGTGTTTATAGTTTCCAATATAGCCGATGCTAAGCACGCACAATAGCCGGGGGACCCATCAGCAGAACTCGAACGCTACGAACCAGGTCATGTAACCTAGGCAATTTGTAATCTCTGATTATGCACTTTTCCCTGATAGTTCCCAAGATAAGTATTTTTCCCTGATCGTTCCCTTACAGCGGCTCACCTACCACCCACTACCACCACCGATCAGCACTACTACTACTGCCACCACCAACCACTACCACCACCGAGTAGCACTACTACTACTACTGCCACCACCAACCACTACCACCCATCAAAACTCACCAGTACTACCTACCACCCACCAGCACCATGAAGATCTCCTGTAGCAGCAATGTATATATCTTCCTGGCCTACTGCTCCCTCCTCCTCCTGCTGCTCCTCCAGTAAGTATTTATGATTCTTAATGACTAAGATACATATGCAACAGTCAGTAATTTTACTGAATTATTTATGTAATATACTTGTGTAGTTTATCGTAGTTTGTATCACTTATAGGGCCCGGTGGCCTGGTGGGTAAAGCTCCCGCTTCACACACGGAGGGCCCGGGTTCGATTTCCCGGCGGGTGGAAACATTTCGACACGTTTCCTTACACCTGTTGTCCTGTTCACCTAGCAGCAAATAGGTACCTGGGTGTTAGTGGACTGGTGTGGGTCGCATCCTGGGGAACAAGATTAAGGACCCCAATGGAAATAAGTTAGACAGTCCTCGATGACGCACTGACTTTCTTGGGTTATCCTGGGTGGCTAACCCCCCGGGGTTAAAAATCCGAACGAAATCTCATCTTATATATAGGCTCCCTGTTCAGCTAGGCTCTCTGGCTAGCTGTGAGTACCAACCTTCACACAACAACTGGGTACTTTTATTGTGGAGACGCTAACCAGTGACTTTAACAATTCAGTGCAGAGATTACAGTCTGGAGACAGTGGAAGAGGAGGAAACCAGTCCCTCAGTCTTGATAAAAAGGTGTTCAGTCCCTCAATCTTGGAAAGGGGTGCTCAGTCCCCGAGCCTCATCTTCCCTACTGTCTCCAGTACATAAATAACGATGGAAATAAATGGTATAAAATACCGACACAATGGAAATATAAACACAAATGCAGTATAATGTGATCCTTTATTGACAACGTTTCGCCCACACAGTGGGCTTTTTCAAGTCACAAACGGATCTACCTGGGGTGGAAGGTACGGAGTATTTATAGTCAGGTTCAGAATGTTGAGGTCAGGTGGAGAATGCTGCATCTGATGATCTACCGGGTGGGTTATAGAGTCTTGCCAAGCAACCCAAGACTCTATAACCCCACCCGGTAGATCATCAGATGCATGCATTCTCCACTGACCCAACATTCTGACACTGACTATTAATACTCCGTACCTTTCAACTCCAGTAAGATCTGTGTGTGACTTGGAGAAAAAGCCCCTGTGTGGGCGAAAAGTTGTCAATAAAAGGATCCATTTCTGCATTTGTGTTATATATATTCCACATAAATAAAACGAGTTTGATTTTAACCAATAGTTGCAATCGTCTTCAGTCAAAACATAACCAGGGTGTGGACATGTGACTTATTAAATTAGTCGGTTTGCATGCCATATGTAACGGAAGTGAAGAGTCTTTGCCATCAGTCCCTAAACCACCATAGCTAGGTCACAACCGGCCGCGGGGCGCTGACCTCCGAAAACACCTCCCAGGTATACTCCAGGTATATCACATTTTCCAAGTCCTAACCTGTCCTATGGCATGTAAAGGTTTGTAAATATCTGATCTTCTCTCAGACTCGAATTATCACCTTTCGCTTCTAATACTGTTCCTTTACTTGCTTCACCTTGCTGTTCTTGCTTCACCACTTGCTGTTTACTGCTTCACCTTGCTGTTACTGCTTCTCCTTGCTGTTACTTGCTTCTCCTTGCTGTTACTTGCTTCTCCTTGCGTTACTGCTTCACCTTGCTGTTACTTGCTCTCCTCCTGTTACTTGCTTCCACTTGCTGTTACTTGCTTCTCCTTGCTGTTACTTGCTTCACCTTCTGTTACTTGCTTCTACCTTGCTGTTACTTGCTTCTCCTTGCTGTTACTTGCTTCTCCTTGCTGTTACTTGCTTCTCCTTGCTGTTACTTGCTTCTCCTTGCTGTTACTTGCTTCTCCTTGCTGTTACTTGCTTCTCCTTCTGTTACTTGCTTCTCCTTGCTGTTACTTGCTTCTCCTTGCTGTTACTTGCTTCTCCTTGCTGTTACTTGCTTCTCCTTGCTGTTACTTGCTTCACCTTGCTGTTACTTGCTTCTCCTTGCTGTTACTTGCTTCTCCTGCTGTTACTTGCTTCTCCTTCTGTTACTGCTTCTCCTTGCTGTTACTTGCTTCTCCTTGCTGTTACTTGCTTCTCCTTGCTGTTACTTGCTTCTCCTTGCTGTTACTTGCTTCTCCTTCCTGTTACTTGCTTCTCCTTGCTGTTACTTGCTTCTCCTTCCTGTTACTTGCTTCTCCTTGCTGTTACTTGCTTCTCCTTCTGTTACTTGTTTCCCTACTGTTTCTCTTGCTGTTACTTGCTTCCCTTGCTGTTATTTCTTCGCTACTTTCTTCCTGTTACTTGCTTCTCCTTGCTGTTACTTGCTTCTCCTTGCTGTTACTTGCTTCTCCTTGCTGTTACTTGCTTCTCCTTCTGTTACTTGCTTCTCCTTGCTGTTACTTGCTTCTCCTTGCTGTTACTTGCTTCTCCTTGCTGTTACTTGCTTCTCCTTGCTGTTACTTGCTTCTCCTTGCTGTTACTTGCTTCACCTTGCTGTTACTTGCTTCTCCTTGCTGTTACTTGCTTCTCCTTGCTGTTACTTGCTTCTCCTTGCTGTTACTTGCTTCACCTTGCTGTTACTTGCTTCTCCTTCCTGTTACTTGCTTCTCCTTCCTGTTACTTGCTTCTCCTTGCTGTTACTTGCTTCTCCTTCCTGTTACTTGCTTCTCCTTGCTGTTACTTGCTTCTCCTTCCTGTTACTTGCTTCTCCTTCCTGTTACTTGCTTCTCCTTCCTGTTACTTGCTTCTCCTTCCTGTTACTTGCTTCTCCTTGCTGTTACTTGCTTCACCTTGCTGTTACTTGCTTCTCCTCTGCTGTTACTTGCTTCTCCTTGCTGTTACTTGTTCTTCTTCTTCCTTGTTTACTTGCTCCTTCTGTACTCTTCCTGTTACTTGCTTCTCCTTCCTGTTACTTGCTTCTCTTCTGTTACTTGCTTCACCTTGCTGTTACTTGCTTCTCCTTCCTGTTACTTGCTTCTCCTTCCTGTTACTTGCTTCTCCTTCCTGTTACTTGCTTCTCCTTCCTGTTACTTGCTTCTCCTTCCTGTTACTTGCTTCTCCTTCCTGTTACTTGCTTCTCCTTCCTTAGCTTCTCTTCCTGTTACTTCTTCTCCTTCTGTTACTTGCTTCTCCTTGCTGTTACTTGCTTCTCCTTCCTGTTACTTGCTTCTCCTTCCTGTTACTTGCTTCTCCTTCCTGTTACTTGCTTCTCCTTCCTGTTACTTGCTTCTCCTTCCTGTTACTTGCTTCTCCTTCCTGTTACTTTCAGAAATTATTATTACTATTGTATCAAGATATGCCAGCATTCTTTCTAAGCCTCTTTTCTGATCAATTTACAATTGCTATATCTCTGAATAGCATTACTTTTAATTAATTTTAGTGAAATACTAGTAGCCATTTGTCTGATAATAACGTGAGTGGAACTGTTTCACCTAAAATCCGCACTTAGAAGAGAGATCTGTCTCGTTATATAAACTTTGGTAATAGATCATACCACGGGCGGGATTTGAACCCGCGGTCAGAGTCTCAAAACTCCAGACCGTCGCGTTAGCCACTGGGCCAGCTAGCCACAATAAGATTCATCCAACTAGGTATATTTCTACACCATAGGAAGGTTAGCATAGGCCACCACTGTGGCTAGCTGGTCCAGTGGCTAACGCGACGGTCTGGAGTTTTGAGACTCTCTGACCGCAGGTTCAAATCCCGCCCGTGGTATGGTTTGTTTGCAATCGTGTCATTACGTTTTCGTGAGTCAGTTTGGTAATAGTTACCTCCTAGAAAACAACACAAGTAATTCTACCAACTTTATTACAACACAGGAGTCACATGGCCTCACTGGTTACTAGTGCTCATCCCAGTATAGCATTCTCCAGGTCACTCTGTATCACTCTCACCCCTCTTTGCCTGTACGACATGGATGCTCACCGTGCCCCGTCACAGGGTTGTAAACTCTACATCACTGGTATCAACTGACACTCCTTCGGGAGCGACTGTCGGGTCACCACATGGAGAAGGTTCAGGGTCAGGACCCGTCCTGGCCCGGGTCACATGGAGAAGACCTGGATCAGGACCCGTCCTGGCCTGGGTCACATGGAGAAGACCTGGGTCAGGACCCGTCCTGGCCCAGATCACACGGAGAAGACCTGGGTCAGGACCCGTCCTGGTCCAGGTTACATGGAGAAGACCTGGGTCAGGACCCGTCCTGGTCCAGGTTACATGGAGAAGACCTGGGTCAGGACCCGTCCTGGTCCAGGTTACATGGAGAAGACCTGGGTCAGGACCCGTCCTGGTCCAGGTTACATGGAGAAGACCTGGGTCAGGACCCGTCCTGGTCCAGGTTACATGGAGAAGACCTGGGTCAGGACCCGTCCTGGTCCAGGTTACATGGAGAAGACCTGGGTCAGGACCCGTCCTTGCCCAGGTCTTCTCCATTTGGTGACCCGGGCCATGACGGATCCTGACCCAGGTCTTCTCCGTGTGATCTGGGCCAGGACGGGTCCTGACCCAGGTCTTCTCCATGTGACCCAGGCCAGGACGGGTCCTGACCCAGGTTTTCTCCATGTGACCTGGACCAGGACGGGTCCTGACTCAGGTCTTCTCCATGTGGTGACCCGGGCCAGGACGGATCCTGACCCAGGTCTTCTCCGTGTGATCTGGGCCAGGACGGGTCCTGACCCAGGTCTTCTCCATGTGACCCGAGCCAGGACCCGTCCTGACCCAGGTCTTCTCCATGTGACCCGGGCCAGGACCTGTCCTGACCCAGGTCTTCTCCATGTGACCCGGGCCAGGACCCGTCCTGACGAACCTGCCTCAACATGAACTTTCTTGTGTTAGAAGTAATCAAGGTCCCATTATTATAATCAAGGGGGAAGCGATAAACCCGGAGGATTATACAGCGCCTGGGGGGGGGGATGTGGAAGGCATTCAGGCTTAATTCGGGGAACTGGAGCACAGATCCAATTCCCTAAATCAAGAGCCCCTCACCAACATCAAGGAACCTTCCTTGAGGGGAATCAAGGTCCCAGAATAAAAAATATTTTAATAAATGTATCCTAGTGTTTGTTGACGTTTCTTCCTAAAACCAACCTCTTGTTCGAAATGGACCGAAA